GTCTTATATAATAAGTCTTATTAGTTAACTGCAGCAGGAGCTTGTATAGGAATAGGAATTTGAGTGGGGTTCCCTCAATGTATACTCTTTAGTAAGAAGCGCTTGGCATAGATGGCCCACAGCGACTCACGAAGAGCTACTGATTCCGATCAATAGCGCTGCGGATTTTTCCTCCTTCAATGGATGCTCATGTGGGTTGCAGCTCGCTGCTTGCAGACAGCCTTTCGTTGTGTACTGGAGAACACTATCACTCAACACGCGGTGATTGAATAATCACCATTTGGTGATACCAGACGAAATTCAACTTTGAAATCTGTGTTAGCGAAATCGCTTTTCGCAGGCAATCGTTGATAATTTTAATTAGCTTAGCAACAGTTGCACATGCATGCAATTTTCAATAGCGACATTTGGAAAAATGATGAAGTGTTCAATTGAGCAGATGAGTAGGAATATTTCTGATCGATTGGTGATAAAATTATTGAAATTGGTTCGAGGTCAGCTGAGTTATTAACGTTAGAAATCTTTCATAATTTTTTTACATGTTCCATTTTCGGTTTTCACAAAGTGTACCCCCATTTTTACATGATGTGATCTATCCCGAACAGTGTTCCAAGGAGGAACTCTGCGTACTCAAGGAATTCTCTGGGAAATTGCATGCGTATTCAGATTTTCAGAATGTATCTAAGATTATGCTGAACCGATTTTCAATGCTATTTTCAAGGTAATTCGAGGATTATTTCGAATGGTATACCGTGAATATTCTGAGAAACATGTTACAGAAATTTTGCATAAGTTTTAGATAAATTAACTTAAGAAAATGCTTGGGAGAATTATTAAGGATAAGAAGTGAAGGGTGGAGTTTTCTTGTGAGCAAGCGAATATTGTTTTAGAAGAGTTCTGAAAGGCACTCTGAGTATATTTTTGGTATAATTAAAAAAAATCTTGAAAAAACCTGTGAAGCGTTGAAATGAAATGATCAATGTAATTTAGAGACCGATAATTTTTCGAGATTCCGTGCACACCAAATGATGAATGATCCAGAAATTTAATACTCATACATGGAATTTTCTAGCTCCCGTTTATAATTTAGATCCAAGTAGGTCGCGCTGAAAAAGTGACGTGTTTGAATTTTTCTCCCGTGTTTAGCAAATTGTGAAGTTTCTTACGAATACATGTTTTTGCGTATTGGAATTTTTGAATCTGAGAGTGGAACAGTTAGAGCTGATCGGAACGGGGATCGTGAGCCAACATCCAGAGGTTCATCGACAATGCTGCAATGACGATGCGTTTATTCCGATGCAGATCTCCCCGAGGCCAGAGCAAGGGGAAACTGATTTTATTATTATCAGGATCAAGGAGATGGACCTCCATTTGCGAGAACAGTTGATCTTAAGAATCACAAGAGGCGGGATCATTCGGGTGAGATCCTTGCTTTTTATTTCATTTGTTTGCATTATAATTCTATTAGTATTCATAAAAACTTTACCAAATTATGTCCCAGGGTTTGAATTGAGGAGCTCGGCTAGCTTGGTGGCTACCGCTTTTGCTTACTGAGTAGAAGATCGTGGGTTTACTCCCAAGCTCCTTCAAAATAAAACAATTCCTAAGGTCACATCGCCTGCTTAAGCGAATCTTGACCCAACTCCGTAGCTTTTATGGGCGCGTCGGTGAGTCGCTGGCCTCTCGTTAAGTAGATGGTACACCAACAATATCCTTCCTTTCCCCGTAACGGAGTTCCCCCTGTTTTGAACAGTTTTCCTTAAGAAATTAGAATAAGAACGAAGTATATACATGACAGTTGCCAGTATGCAATCTACGAATTACTCCGTTGCAAATGCAACGCAACGATTTTTTAGCTTTAAGAACGATTCTGACACTTAAACTTGTTCGAATTTCTGGAAAAAAATATAATAGAGTTACGGGGTGTAATGTGAGTCTAGCCCTTCACTACGGCCTATCAAGCAAATAACTCAGTCATTCAGCAATAATACACAATAGTAATGAAAAACTAATACCACATCTGCTGTGAAATTTTTATCCGTAAATTGATTGCCTATTTTTGGGACAAATTTAGAACATTTATTGCTCGTTTTCAAAGAAAAAGTTTAGTGAAATTTTCTTAATTTTCGATTTCTAGGCGCCATGATTTTGCCGTATTACTGCACTAACGAAAATCGTCACTTCGGAGGTCATCAAAAATCCTGATAATTTCATGAATTGAAAGGACTTACCTTTTTGTAACATGCTAGCCTAATAAATCAATAACACACTTTTCACTCTTATTCTGAATTTAGAAGATTTAACGCTTTTTGCGCTTTATAACTATGGGCCGAACATTAGGGACGTAATTTTGAGACGTTTTCCTAATTATGGTCTACGAACTTTATTTGATAACTTGGTTTTGGTATTGGTGAAACCATTCGCGTTGACGACGACTCTGCAACTGTTCACTCCTATAGGAAAACCCCATAAGCAAATGTCGAGCAAACATAGCGGATCGTTTCTTATCCTTTCACTCCACTGAAATATCCCGTACACTGAACGAAAACATCCACACACAATGCGTCGAATGATTATTGCATTGCTCGAGCCCTTCAACAATATCCATTCGAATTTCGGATGATTGTCTTACGGTGAATTCGTCGTCAGATGATGAGCATCCATATGACTGACATCCAAATAAAAGATGATTTTTATTTGAAAATTGGCTGTAATACATACAGCACTCAGAGGACACAAATTTAAGGAAAGTGTGACAGCAAGAGCTTTAAATAAGATTTATTATTCGATTATTGACATGTACATACTGAATAGCCATGATCAGCCATTCCATTAAGGATGCAAAAATGCTTCATTAGGTCGTATGAATAAAAGCGTTTACTTTACTTTTCCCGTAAGCACGGTAGAGGTCGAGGAAACTCTCTCCACCGCGAAATAGACAAACTTCGGTTTCCACGCTTTACCCATGTTCGTACCAGCTCTGATAGCGATCGCTATGTTTCCAACTCGTTTGTCTGCTCAGATCAGCAAATGACATTCGATAGAATTATTTACATCATCGTTTTGAATGATTTGCGTTATGTGCCTGAACCAATACCATATGCATTTCAATTAAGATGACAATCATTCTGCAGAGAGCATTACGCATTTCAACTGAAAGCCCTATCCCTTCTCATGATAATGTTCATCCTGTATTCGAGAGGAAAATCGTCTGATTTCAAAACAAACGTCATCCGGTTTCAGCTATCATTCGAAAAAGCGATTTCGATGTTTCGATTTCAATGGTCTGAAATTTCATTCGATCAGAGGATGATATTTGTGTACAGTGTAGGCAAAATGTTAATCTTTGCGTGAAAGGAGAGGTCGACACGGTACACACGCTATTTCTAAACAACCCAAATTTCAGGAGGATCTACTCATATTCGTCAAAAGTCCCAAATTGAGTAAACAAAGTTTAGACTGACAAGAAGACGAATGGAAGACATTTGTTTATTTGTCATCTTGTCAGTTCCAACTTTGTTTGCTCAATTTAGGGTAGCCCTACTTTTGACGGATATGAGTAGATTCTACTCAAATTTGGGTTGTTCAAAAATAGCGTGCAGTCAATTCTCCCGTCAAAACAAACTTCACGGAAAATGAGACTGGCTCATATTTGAGTACCGTTCACTCAAACTTGCAAAAGCGTAGGTCACTCGTACAATAAGTAAATTTTTATAAAATATGAGTAAATGTCACTAATGAGTCACTACGAAAAACTATCAACCCCAACAATGCATTAGGTCCTAAGTAACATTGATCGATTCTCCTCGTCGACTTTCTCTTTCGTTAATAACTTGGCTACAAAAGCGCTTCTTGCCGTGTTTGCCATATTAGATGCTCGATAATAGCTTCTTTTATTGAACTACAAGTTGGAAATAGCTGGAAGTTTCTATACATGGCCGTGGGGATCCAAAGAGAAAAATTGACAGACCGGGAATCGAACCCAGCCACCTCCAGCATGGTCGTGCCTTGTAGCTGCGCCTATACCGACTGGGCTAAGAAAGGCCCCTTGTAGAATTTACTAGTGGCTTCGTAGATAATAATTAATTAATTTAGCTTTATTTAGGAGGCTTTCAGCCTTAGGCTGGTTCGCCTCTCGTAGATAATATTAGAAACGGGTGATAATATGATAGTTCAACTTTTCAAATGACTCGTTTCACCTAGTGACCCCTTCCACCTAATCACATTTGACCTAATAGCGTTCAACCACGTGGCCATTCGGCCTAACGACTCATAAAGAGAAAAAAAAAAAAAAATCAAAACCTGACTACACTGAGGTAAACGTACGTAAACATTTTATAAGAACCACTTATGAATTTTAGCCACAAGAAATCGGTGTGAATTTCAAAGATTTGCCTTATGAAAAATAATGTCTACAAAAAAATAATAAAACTGAGCAAACTAGAACCGAACCATGGACGTTTAGATTACGGGTCCTGTTACTGGATCACTCGTCTTTCAACGCTTGGGAAATAGAATGGCTAATGGCGTAAAAGAGCAAGGGGAAATGTCGGCTTCGGCAATACCTTAACCTATTATCGTCAGGGGGTAAACAAAGTCCTAGAGCACTCAAATTTGGCCAATAGATGCTTTGAAACACAATGTATCGATATACCTCTCAAGGACTTTGTTTACCCCCTGACGACAATATAATAAGGTATTGCCGAAGCCGTTATTTACCCTGCCTCATGTTAGACGAAAATCGTTCATAAGTCGTGCTTATGAAATTCATATGTGTCGCTCATAAGTCAAGCCTTATGAAATTATTTAGTCTTTTTGCCTCAGTGTACGCCCTTACATTTTATTTTATTTTTTAAATAGGCTGTCTAAAATCTCTTGAAAGCTGCCCGCCTGGTTTGAGGATAACCTGCAGCGGCAGAATCCAAAAATCGCATCAAAAAAATAAAAGCCAATACATTATTCAAACATTATGCAAACATAGGTACTCCTCGTTTACTCACCTTTCAACCATAGTGCTTGCAGTTTGGCGTGATTGTGCGGTGCGTACTGGTGGTGCTCCAGTAACCGGTACAGCTCCTTAAAGTTCCCCCGGTGGAACGCCACCACGGCTTTGGCTTTGAGCACGGACTCATTCAGTTGCAGCTTGTCGCACTGGGGCAATGACCACAGAAACCGACCCAACCGTTCGATATTTCCTGCCTGCTGTAGAACCTATTGGGAAAAGTGGAAGGAGAGGTGGAAAAAAAATGTCCAATTAATCAAAACTCATCGAATTGTTGCGTTTTTACAGGGTTCAACCAGGTGCGTTTCTCACGCGTGGATTTCTGCGACCGTGCTGTAAAACCCAGAGGGGTAGGAATGCAATCGAATTGAGGTGACGCATGCATACTCGCGCGCGCGCACGCTCAACCCAATTCAAAACTGTGGGAAAATATATTTCCACGAACAACCGTTTGCATTTTTCCGAAATAGTAACAAAAACATTTTTAAATTGCTTGCGACGACGATGGCGGCGTGACGGCGACAACACCGCGCTTTAACACTTCCTTTGCGATTCATTATGCCGGTCGCCCCGACGGGGATCAAGTTACAGCGCAGAAAAATATGTTTTCAGGTTGATTGATGAAATTGAACACCTTGAATGTTTGAGTATGTTGACATTTTGAGATGGAAATTATGCCACAACATTAAAATTCATTCGCAGCTCATAAACATCCCATCCAAACTCTTACTCACTGCGAATCTTCAGCAAACTAGCTTTGAGAGTTACATTGTATCAGTTTAAATTTAAAACACATAAATCACTCGTCCCGTCATCTTTTGATTCGCGCTCGTTATAATTTCCTTAGCAAAATTTGCAACAACGTATCCAAAAACGTTACCTTTGCTATTTATTGCCACTCACTACATTGGTAGGTACATGCGGTGTACACATGTGTGGTATACTGGGACGACACTGAAATGGCGATGATTTGTCTTGCTCTACGGTTGATCTCTGCTGCAGCATCTAAAGGGGTCATAGTTAAATGACGAACCATTTGTGGACTTACATCGGGAAGCTTCCGAGTAACATAAGCAATACTATAGCTTAAAAGTATCCTATCCAGAATGTTACGTAATTTGTGCATGACCCTCATTGGGAACATGTACGACTGCGAATTAAACGATGTCTCGAAATTAGTCATTTTCAAGTCGAAATGGACTGTTAAAAATAAACATTTAATGCAAGCTGACGATTGAAATGTGATGGCAGATAACTGTATTTTAAGAAACCATTTCTCAATATAATTGTGAACGAGGTATAATAAGTTGCTAGCAGTAAATGTCGTCTAATTCGAGTAGATGTTGTACCAGTGTACTTTATTCTGGAAAAAAAACATATTTGCAAACATGGCTGAGTCCAGTTCAAGTTCAATTCTCAACTGCTTTAAAAAATAGTAAAGTTTTCTAAAGGATTGAGCGTGCAAGAGGTTTTAAGATTGAATGGAAATGTTGACGAATTCTACGTGAGATTTCAAAATTTCACTAAAATTGCTCTAACTTTAACTCAAATTCTGGTCGGTCACACAATACAAAAAGGTGGAAATGAAATTATGGATCGAAATTTGTTATTCCCTCAATTTTGATATTTTAACCGTTAAAACGACCAAAACGACAGCAACCTGAGTAATCATTATCAGCGAAATCACAAGATCAAATTTAGATTTCCATTTGAACTCAGACTTTGCTCGGGTAGCTACTCTGAAGGATCTTTGTAAGGAATTATACTGAGCACTGTAAGTAAGGAATATACTGAGCACTGGGTCGTTTATTCTGTAAACACTTTTGCGTACTTTGTTCACACTAATCACTCACCTGTGCAGGAGCTCTTTAGAACTCTTGTCAATAGATAATCTCTGCTGTCAGACAGGAATTCAACCAATAGCCATAACTAAGGTGAAAGGAAACCTCAAGAGTACTATAAAGAGCAAGACCTGGATACCCCTTTGTGGGTACGAATATAGAAATCAATAGTAATATCTGGGAATGCTCCGTTTAAAGAAATGCCAACTACCCTGAAGAGAGAGGCTCAACAGGCTTAGCGTTTTATTCCTCCAGAAGGGAGAGGGACATGTTTACTAGCGCTTTTGATGCAGGTGGTGATGACTACGAACATTTTCTACCGTGGCTAGCTTTGGTGGATGTTGGTTGTGGACGAACACGGTGCACCGCAGTGGGAGGGCCCTCCAACTACTATCGGCGAGTTCTTGTCCGGTAACTGACCGGACGTCTTGGAAGTTGAACGGTGGTAGTCTCGACGAAGTACTGGATAGCAATCGATGTCCGTCGGTGATTGGTACTAGATTGCGGAACAGAGATCGACGTTAAATAAAGGAATGGAGGAAAACAGCGAAATGCGTATAGTCATCCAGGAACGTCACAAAATACAGGTAACCATCGAATGTAGCCGACGTAGTTTTTCCACAAACAACCGTGTGAACTCTTTCCAGCGGCTTGCTGTTTGTGGGGGTCTTGAACTATTGAATGGAAGTGTAACAAGTTTTGCTTCAGCACAAGTTTCACAGAAAGCTTCCTCCATTTTCAGCTTATCCAATCCATTAACCATCTCCGATCTTTGAAGTTTCAATAGGGTTCGATGACTCAAATTACCGTAGCGCTTGTACCACAAGGCCTGCTGTGTCTGAATTCTCTACTTCCATGGTCATATAGTACAAATTACCATGCTTAATAGCTTCGCCGATGACTTCCCCGTCTTTGGTCAAGATGGCACGATCTTCCTCAAAGATGACCTTAGCTCCAACATTCATCGGTGCCCCCAACGATAGCAAGTTAAATTTTAGATTTGGAACGAACAAAACTTCGCGTACCCGGCCGCTTTGTGTCATATGTTTCCTTTGATGATTCCTTGCTTGACACCTCTCATACTTCCATCGTTCATCGTGATAGGTTCAGCAAGCGTTTCCATTTCACGAAAATGCCTACCTCTTGTCCATGTGGCGGCTGGCACCCGAATCAAGAATCCATTCTACCTTCTTCATTGTGCTTGAACACACCATCGGCACAGATCCTATCAACGCAACTTCACGATGCATTGGCACTTCCGCTGCTTATGCTCGCACTCGAGGCTCTTTAGATCTTGGAAATGCTGACCCATTGTGGCCAAAATCTGTGCAACCGTAGCATTTTCCAGAAAACTTCGATTTATAATCACGGATCAAGGAGTAAGTCACTCAGCACATTGTGCCGAAATTAGATTCGGCACAAATTGGGCACATCCATCGGCACAATCTCGTAGGCATTGGATTGTTCTTCCAATAAAATGGGAGCACTGCTGGACAACTGTCATCGAAGTTGTTCACAACATTACGTGCTGTTTGACTGACTGAGGAACTCAGACCAGCAGTTCACTTATAGATCTAAATACGAAATGTAGGTTCTAGAGTGGGCTCTAAAGAAAGAGGCAGTTAATTAGACCCCCTTAAGTCAAATAATGCTGCAACTCACACAAAACCAACTACAGTACTGGACAAAATAAATCATACACCCATATAATTTTTCTTTGGAGCTCGATATATCAGGTAGATTCAAACATACAATAATGGTTTGTTCTGCAATACTTCTGTATGTTTTTCGCTAAAACTGTGCAGGTATAGAATATTCAATATATTGTTTAACTTTCTCAATCATCATTTAAAAGTTGTAAAAGAAGAATTTCTAGTTGGACAAAATAAATCATACGCCTGATTTCTTATTGAAAATTCTTGTTTAATTCAACTTTCAACTTACATTTTAACACTCTCAGTATTTGGTATGACCACTAGACTGATGCAAAATTTGACTTTTTCGCTCCACAGTGCTTAAATGGTTTCCAATTGGGTCCTGATTAGCCTCCAAAAGTTACAACTCATTTGGTTAGAAACAGACTTCGCACAAACCATTTGAAGTTTACATGTAAATTACTATAGGAAACCTCAACTTTTTGATCATTGCCTTCAAGTCTTTTTCCATATTGAGCTGCGAAACAGTTCGATAGCCATTCTTATAGAAAATTTTCTCAGCTACAACTTTGCTGTAGATCATTTCTATGTAAAACGAGACAGGAAAAAGTTATTAATTATTTAAGAGATTGATAAACTTATGACATGATCAAGCAGCTGCTCTGTAGGCAACACTGTATTTTGCAGTGTGACATAGTAGCCATGATTTTTGTGTCCTATTCAACGCCCCAGAAACACCAATGTTGCCTGCTGAGCAGTTGATTGAGCATGATCATAAGACATCAGCGCATTAAACCATTGATAACTTTGGTTCCTTGCATTTAATCAAAAAATGGTCTTCAGCAAAGTTGTAGCTGGAAAAATTTCCTGCAAGTTCAGTTGAAAGTTTTTGAAGCAACCCGATATGGTGAATTATTAGATAGACATGAAAAAAAATCTTGGTTTTCCCATAGTAATTCCCATACAAACTTCAAATGGTTTGTGCCATCTCAGTTTCTCACCAAATGGGTTCAAATTTTGAGAGGTTAGTCAAGATCAGATTTGGATTGGTTTAAGTATTGTGGAGCGAAATTTTTTTAATTTTGCATCACTCTAATGACCACCCTTTGCTTTCAACACTGCTTCCAACCGTCTTGGCATAGTTTTGACGAGGTTTTGTGGATATCCTGAATCGATATTCTCTCACGTGCTTCAAAATAAACGTTTTTGTTGGAAACCGATGCTGTATCCACTTTGTTGTCCAAATAAGACCACAAATTCTCAATTGGGTTGAGATCGAGAGATTGGGGAGGCCATTCCAGCTTTTTAATCCGATTTGATTTGAAAAATGCCGTTGTTTTCTTCACTGTGTGCATTGGGTCATTATCTTGTTGGAAAATGTAATTGGATTCCAGGCCTGTTTTCAGTAGCGAAACTTCCAGGTTTTCACTTAACAAGTCAATGTACACATCTGCAGTCATTATTCCCTTTATATGAGCCAAGCTTCCAACACCAGACCACGCAAATGATATTTCCGCCTCCGTGTTTAACCGTCTTTTGAATGTATGGTTCCTTAAGAGCATCACCGGAACCTCGCCAAACCCTTGATGGCATTTTCTGTCCAAATAACTCAAATTTGCTCTCATCCGTCCACAGAACTCGTTTCCAGAAGTCCACAGTCATTCCGGCGTACTTTTTAGCAAATTCCAGTCACTTCTGTTGGTTCCGCTTGTT